TAAACGGAATCTCAGCAAACGTCATCTCAGCCGGAGTCGAACCTCTTACGGCGAGAGAATATAAACGTCATTGTTGACGTGTGCATGCTTGCTATGCATTTTATTTCTATTATCCTTAGCTTTCCTTTTGTTTTGGTCCTCAGCGTTTATGTGTCAAAACGCTTTCACGCTTTTGTTAGTTACTCTTTTACCTTTTATGTCAAGCGTGTGTTATGCACGTGTAAGTTTTATGATTGGTCATATGGATCATGTATATGGTGTGTGTGAGGCTCGTCTTCCTTAGTAGATGAAAAACTTGTGAGCTCAATTTACAGAGTTCGATTTTAATGGAAAAAATGTTTTCTCGATTTGCTGTCGCATTGACCAAGAAAGACACAATAGCCGGTGAGAGATCTCCTAGTGAGTGTGCATGCTCCCACCAAAGGGTTATAATAAAGCTAAAAAGGGAGAGGTCTGCTTGCTGAAAAGAAGTCTATATGGGCTAAAACAGGCTTCTAGACAGTGGAATATAGAATTTTTTGAGAAATTACTTGCATATGGATTTGCTCAGTCTGTCCATGACCATTGCCTGTTTAATAAAAGGAATGGAGATCAGTTTTTGGCTCTTTTAATCTATGTTGATAATGTCTTGATTGCTGGGAATTTGTATTCTGATGTTGTTCACCTCAAGGCGTACCTTGACAGACAGTTCACTATCAAGGACCTTGGGGAGGCAAAATATTTTCTGGGGCTTGAGATTATAAGATCTAAAGAAGGCACACACCTCAACCAGAAGAAATACATCATGGACATCATTAGTGATCTTGGCTTGCAGGATTCTAATAGTACAGCTACACCTTTTCCTCAGGGTTTAAATCTCTCTTCTCAGAACTCTTCCCCTATGATTGATTCAGGATTATTCAGAAGGCTTGTAGGGTGGCTATTATACTTAAATTTGTCCAGACCTGATATCTCCTTTGCCATACAACAGCTGAGCCAATTTATACACTCTCCTACTGAAGCACATTGGTCAGCTGCCATGCATTTGTTGAAATATCCGAAAGGTACTCCTACTTTGGGACTCTTTTACACTTCTGTTCTTAATTTCTCACTCGAAGCTTACTGCGATGCGGATTGGGGTACATGCACACTCACTAGGAGATCTCTCACCGGCTACTGTGTCTTTCTTGGTCAATCATTGGTCTCTTGGAAAACAAAGAAACAAAAAACCGTCTCTCGTTCCTCGGCTGAGGCAGAATATAGAGCCATGGCGAGCACGGTTTGTGAGCTACAGTGGATGCTTTACTCAGCAGGTGATCTCGGTATTTCTCTACCTTTGCCTGTCTCTTTGTGGTGTGACAATCGCGCTGCACTTCACATCACAGCGAACCATGTGTTCTATGAACGCACCAAGCACCTCGACATCGACTGCCATGTTGTTCGGAATAAGTTTAAAGAAGGGCTGATTTCTCCCATGCACGTGACCTCCACTTCTCAGCCGGCCGATGTTTTCACTAAGGCGCTCGGGGGCCATGATTTTCAGTGCTTTCTCTGCAAGTTAGGACTGTGTAAACCTCCCCACATTTCTACTTGAGGGGGGGGATGGGTGTTGACGTGTGCATGCTTGCTATGCATTTTATTTCTATTATCCTTAGCTTTCCTTTTGTTTTAGTCCTCAGCGTTTATGTGTCAAAACGCTTTCACGCTTTTGTTAGTTACTCTTTTACCTTTTATGTCAAGCGTGTGTTATGCACGTGTAAGTCTTCTGATTGGTCATTATGGATCATGTATATGGTGTGTGAGGCTCGTCTTCCTTAGTAGATGAAAAACTTGTGAGCTCAATTTACAGAGTTCGATTTTAATGGAAAAAATGTTTTCTCGATTTGCCGTCGCATTTTATCTTCTCCTAGCTTCTTCCTAAAATCTACAGTCATCTCAGCAAACGCCATCTCAGCAAACGTCATCTCAGCTGGAGTCGAACCTTTTACGGCAAGAGAATACAAACATCATCTCAGTAAACACCATCTCAGCAAACGTCATCTCAGCCAGAGTCGAACCTCTTACAGCGAGAGAATACAAATGTCATCTCAGCCAACGCCATCTCAGTAAACGTCATCTCAGCCGGATTCGAACCTCTTACGGCGAGAAATATAAACGTTGACTCAGCTGAAGTCGAACCTCAACGGCGAGAAATATAAACGTCGACTCAGCCGGAGACGAATCTCTCTGGTGAGGAATATAAACGTCGACCCAGTCGGAGTCAAACCTCAACGGCGAGGAAATATGCACATCGAAAATAGATGATCAGTGTCAGCGTGGATAAATGAATTCGACCCCATTGTTGGTAAGTGAACTCGACTCCATCGTTGGTAAGTGAACTCGGATCCGTCGTTGGTAAGTGAACACGGCTCCGTCGTTGGTAAGTGAACTCAGCTCCGTTGTTGGTAAGTGAACTTCAGCCTCGATATTTATAAGTGAGGTTGGAGACGATCGAATGATGAATCGACTCGGCAGAACTAGACTCGTTGGTGGGAGAATGATTGGTTGGCCCTGTGGAATTGGGCTCGGTCATGGTGCTATCCCCATCTTAAGTAGTCGAACAAATGTCGAGATCGATTGATACGTCAGTTGGTTTTGAATAATTGTCCGCTTGTAGCTCCCGACATACTGGGTGGTAATACGTTCATCTCGATTGTTGTCAATCACCTCGGATCGCGGATGGTTGTCAGTATGATGGATTGATTCGGACGACGGAGTGGTCGACCCGGTTGCAATTGGGGGATCCATCAGCAAACAATTGTCGTAAATGATCTTCTCATTTTTTTTTTTCATTCTCTTTTACATTTTTCCCTCATTTTTTGTGTACATATGTATAGGTATATATATTTGTTTTTTTTATATATATACG